GAGGCTTTCCCCTGAGAGAGAGCTGCGCCACTCATAGTTCTCAGCTTCTCTCGCTTTAAAGCTCACGGTGCCTCTGAATGTACTGCTCCATGTCTCTCCTTGTTACACCAAAATAGCTTGGGCCTCGTTGCTGTTCTTTGGAATTGGTGGTTCCGGGGATTGTTTGCACTCCCTTGCTCAAGGTTGTTCTCGTGGATTTCCTGCAATCCAGAGCCACCAGATTGAAATCCAAAGCCACCAAGATTGATTTGATGCAGACGACGCGTGTTGGTCAAGATGGACGGCGAACATTTAAAAAAAATTTGGATTCTCATGTATGCTGCCATTCGGATTTGAGAGCCTTGTATGTGATCATTGAAATGTGGTATTTTCATGCAAAAAGATGTTTGGACCAACCCTGCACGGGACCAACTTCTTATTGTATGTTACACCCAGTCCAGGCTTTGAAACGTGTGCCATGAAATGTTGTGCAGCACTAATGCAATCGGCACAAAGTCGGGCTGGAGTAAAACAGCTTTGTAGTTCCAATTTTGTGGCGTATTTGCCGGTAGACCAATGCTTCGTAGATTTTTTAACCGTTTTGGAAAAGGGTCTAAGCGTGCGCGCTGGAAGGTTGGACAGCAACCTGCAAAATGAGTTTTTTGTCACTTTCGTTTCAGTCTGTCTCCTGTACTTCATGCACGAACTTAGCTTGCTGCTGTCGATGCTATCGAAATACCAGGCTTCATTGCTGTCACAACTCTGAGAGCACACTGAAATTCGCAGAGGTTGAGAACGGCTAGGGCTAGGGCAAAGAAGATTTCTGGATCTGGACTATTATTGTAATGCGAGCTCAATGCACTTTCGACGTCTGGTTTGGGAGCCATGCATGTTGAACGACATTCAAAAAACATATTATTGTAATGTTGGTGTCGTGTACACACCACTGAGAACCCAAAGCTGTCGCGATGAACGCAGTCATTCTGCCTAGAATCGTGACTCACCATGCGGTGCAGGCCCCTTGCAGTCTGTTAGTCAGTTTCTGCAATGCATGAAGCATTCGACGTGAGCACAGCATGCCTTGCATCTGCATTAGTTAGACCATTTTACCCACAGGCTGGAATGGCTGCTGCAGCAACCTCCGTGCAGGTGCTTTTGCTGTTCTCTGGCAGACATGATGCTATGGCCGCTATGGCCTATCTTTCCACAGTGCCCAGTGGCTCAGGTGCGGGGAAAATCGAACGCCATCAATTCGGTTTCGCTGCTGTTCTCGCCTGAGCAGTTGTGGCCATATGCCAATGTTCATGATGCCCTTCCGGCTTGCTGTCGCTAAGGCGCCAGTACTACAATCGCTTGCCGATACGCAGGAAGTACAAGCGAGCGGTGATGAAGGGAACAATGGTCATGTGCGAAAAGACTGGCCAGGAGGGGCTGAGGAGAAACTTCATGTTGCTTTTGAGTCATGGCTGGTGCTGTGCTTGGTAAGAGTCACGAGTCACGAGTCACTGCTGCAGGTTCGGATTCCTCCGCTGGCCATTTCTGGCTACGATGAGCGGAAAAATCCCTACAAGGGAAGGCCCTAGCCGATTGTGTTCGTGCGCACTTTCGTTTGCAGCAGTTTGACAGCTCCTCGTTTGCTCACATTCACTAGGACGGCATGCTCCTGCTGAATGTCTGTTGATCCTTTAAGGGCGGCATGGATGTATGAATCCCCGAGCAGGTTTGAAGACCTCCGGTCTACACGGATATGGCTGAAGGACTAGTAGGGCTATCTACCGAGCTCGAAGCTTCGAAAATGTTTCACAAGCTGACATCTTTTTGCTCTCAGCAAAATAGCGTGCTCGTTTTGTCGGAAGTTCTGCGAGATTTCTGATGCTCTGTGTTCACTTGCGCTGATGGTGATATGTGTCGCTCTCTGGCCGTCAAGATAAGTTCATAGAGCAGGCAGCGGCATTGCCATGTCGCCCGGTTTGGAGGAGTTGTTCTTCGAGCCTGTCGGAGAAGAGAAGAGATCAAAGTGGAATCAAGTTGGCCCAAACAGAGGTTCGTACATACAGATCGAGACGTTTCAGAATGTGGGACCGGGTGCAGGCAACTTCGACAAAGGTCCGGGCGGAGACTTCCACAGTGTTCCGGAGGGCCTGGGTGCTTTCAGGCAGATCCAGACGTACCAGCACGTCGGGCCGGGCCTTGGCGACTTTGACAAGGAAGACGTGACTTCCTACTCAGAATGGAAGCTGAGAGCGAGGTGCTTGGTGGTCATGCTGCTTTTGTTGCTCCTCCTGGTGGCCGCAGTGTCATACCTTCTCTTGCAGAAGAATGGTAGCGACGTCAGTGGGGTCCCTCATGCTCAGGATTTCCACGGCCACGACATTCACAGCTTGGAAACTGTCTATGATTGCAACGCAGGTTATACCGAATGGCAAACCAGCTGGAGTGAATCAAAGAAAGCCTTCTGCTGCAGAAGTAGCGGAGTTGCATGCGAGCAGGCGGCATATGACTGTGATGCAGGCTACAGCCAATGGGAGAGCATGTGGTCTTCTGATAAAAAGGAGTACTGCTGTGATCAAACTGGTCGCGGCTGCAGCCCGGTGTCCAACGAGCCGTATGACTGCCAAGTTGGGCTGGCGCACTGGCAATCAGACTGGACAAAGGGAAAGCAGCTTTGGTGTTGCAGCACGCATGCACTTGGCTGTGCAGACTACGGCTATAGCTTAAGCTTCAACTGCGACGTGGGTTTTGCAAGATGGGAGACAGACTGGTCCTGGGCAAAGAAGCACTGGTGCTGTGCTCACGAGCAGAAGGGCTGTGAGGTCGAGGCTCCGTTTAACTGCCAGGCAGGTCTCGCAAGTTGGAGGTCAGGCTGGTCTTACTCCAAGAAGAAATGGTGCTGTACTCACGAACACGTAGGCTGTGTCTCATCAGAGCCCTTTGACTGCTCGGCCTCTGCAGACTGGCCTGCTTGGCCCAAGCCTAAGAAGCACTACTGCTGTGCTTCTCATTCTTTGGGCTGTGAGACGACGACTTCTCCTGCCGCGTCTTTGCCTTTCGACTGCTCGGCTGGATTCACCAACTGGCAGCATGGCTGGTCTTATGCAAAGAGACTCTGGTGCTGCCACCACGACCATAGAGGCTGCTCAGAGCCAACAACAGAGAGTTCTACAACTACCACTCCCACTCCAGCAACCACTTCACCCGCACCAACCCTTCCGTTCAATTGTCATGCCGGCAGGGCAAATCTGGATGAAGGATGGTCAGAAAAGAAAAAGAGCTGGTGCTGTGCCCACCAGCACCTTGGCTGTCCGGTATCCTTTGACTGCGATGCTGCCCTGGCCAACTTCTATTCTGCATGGTCGGACAGAAAGAAAACTTGGTGCTGTCGCCAGGAAGGCAAAGGTTGCATGGGCCAGCATCAACCGGAACTGCAGCCAAGAGAGGGCTACAGGTGGAAGCACGACGAGGCACTGCATAGCTCTATGTTTGGCATCACGTGTATCATGGACAATGAAGTCTTGAGTTCACAAAAAAGGAAGATGCCCGAAGAGAGACCCAGAAGACAACTCTCATTGAAAGGACCATGTCCGATGATGGGCGTGACTGATTTCTTGGCCGCTGCAATCCGCTGTCGTGGTTGTGTCGAAGTCCTGTGTATTTGGGTGATGAACGTCTGCCATACGTCTCCTCGAGCGTGCGTTTGTGTGCCCTCCCCACCGAGCGAGAAAAACCAAAACGGGCGTTTTTGTTTCTCTCTCTGTGTGTTTTTGTTTCTCTCTCTCGCTCTCTCTGTGTCTCGGAGTGCATGTTCATGAGCAAGGGGACGAGCCCCGGCAATGTCATTTTCTGCCATGGGTTGAGCAAGTCTGAACTCGTTAGATGATGCCAAGCGCCTCCAAAATCTTAGTGCTCTGGCAGGTGCATGGCTACTGGACCTGGGTCCAAGCACCTGTGCATGTGCATCAGGAGCATCTGCACCAGGAGCACCTGCACCAGGAGCACCTGCACCAGGAGCACTTGCATTCGGAGCAACACCCTGTCCACTACAATTGCCATGCCGGGTTCCACAACTTCGTCGGTGCCTGGAAGGCTGACAAGCAGCGCTGGTGCTGTAATCACCAGGGCATTGCATGCACAGGTCCAAATCCGCCGGCGGTGCATTTGCAGCCGAAGAACACCTGGGTTCACGTGAAAGTGGAGGGCGTCTGGACCTGGAGGCAGGTGCCGAGGTCCGAGGACGTCCCTTTCGTCGTGGACTGCAGCACGGGCTTGGATCGCTCCAAGAGCTGGGTGCCAAAGAGGAAAGCCTACTGCTGCACGCATGAAGGCAAGGCATGCAACTAGACAAAGGTGAATCTTGTTGTCTCGACGAACGTTTCACACTGCCAGGCTGGAGCTAAAAGGCTCCAGTCCTTCAGTTTTCGACTTTGAGGCAACGTCGAGACACGCGTCAAAACGGCCGGTTGCATTCCCGTGACATTCCTTCAAGCATGTGAGCGTGTGGGACCGCAGCTTCGTGCTCGCAAAGAGGGATCTACCTGCACCTTCAGGGGCGAGGAAGCTATCGTGATGGCCGCGATGTTGGAGCTCGCTGAAACGGCTGCTTCAGAGGCCAGCTCGGATGATTCGATTTTCGATTCTGATGTAGAAACCAGTGATGATGAGGATTTCAGTGGAATCCCCATATTGATGACGGCAGCCAACATCGCAAAGAACATAATCGGGGAAGGGATTCTGAGCCTTCCAAAGGGGCTTGCTGATACCGGAATGGTGTCCGGTGTCCTCATCACCCTTGCCTTCTATGCAGTTATGGTATACACCTTCTGGACCTTAGGGAGAGTTTGTCAGGCAACAAATGAAAAGAGTCATAGGGGAATGGGAAACAAAGTGACGGAAGGCGAGGTGTTTGGAAACGTCATGGCAGCCACGAACTTGCTGAAGACGCTCTTCACATGCACTGCATATGCCTTGGTGATTGGAAGAAACGCAGAAGATATCCTGGCCCCATTAAACTCCAATTCCTGGTTCTGCTCTAAGCGCGGTAGCTGGGTGACCGTTCTGCTTTGCATCCTGTTGCCTCTTTGTTTGCTGCGAGACATGGGGAAGCTTGCATGGACCAGCTTTCTGGGGCTTCTTTGTGAGACCGGTGTGGTTTGCTTCATGATATGGCGACTTCTGGATGGGTCCTACCAGGTCGGTGGCGAGTTCTATGGCAGCCAGACGCCCGAAACTCGAGTGCACTGGGATGACGGTGGTCCGCAATTTTGGACTGTTAGCCCTGGTACACTTACCCTTGTCTCGAGTATGTCGACGGCGTTTCTTGCACACTACAACGCGCCAAAGTTCTACCATCAGCTGAACAAGAGAAGCTCCAGGCGTTTTTTTATCGCCAGTTCCTTGAGCTTCACTTGTGCATTGGTGCTTTTTTTAACGTGCATGCTGGTCGGGTACTTGACCTTCGGCCAGGCTTGTCAGGGCAACATTTTGCACAACTACTCGCAGCGCGATCTTGGAGCTGGCGTGTCGCGATTCGCCATGCTCCTTGCAGTGACGTTTGGCTTTCCCATCGCCTTCACTGGTCTTCGTGATTCGGCTTTGTCGCTCTTTTCCTGTTCCTCGCGACGAAGAGTCTGGGTGCCACTGACACTCGGACTTCTGACGTTGATTGGTGCTCTTGGATGGTGTCTGGATGACCTTGGCGCTCTCAACAGCCTGGGAGGCGCAATTCTTGGCTCGCTAATTACACTGATTTTTCCAGGTTTGCTGCTGACATGGGTCTATTCCTATTTGTCCTCTTCTCCGGACTGGAAGGATGAACTGCTCTTCTGGAGGGTGGAAGGCACCTTCGTCGGGCATGTGCTGGTTGCAGTAGGCTCCCTTCTGCTGGTTTTCGGGACTTTGGTCGTTGTGCTGAAGAACTTTTTGGACAAAGATATCTGAAGGACGGCCCTGATGCTCAGTGCACGGCTCTCGCTCCGGAGCAGGTTCCGGAAAGATCACAGTTTCACAACGAAGGATGATCGCTTGAAGAAGACTTGGCCAACATGCCCGCTGTTCCTGTTTCCTAGAAAAACCACATGGCATAATACTGTCCGAAGTCAGGATCGGCTGGTGCTTTGGCAAGGTTCCCCTGTCGGACCTCTGCATTCGAATGCTACGAAACAGATACGATTGGGCACATGTACCGTCACTCCACAGTCCCCGACTCACCTGTGCATTCCCTCGTGGTGCTGTCGGAGCCAACAGAAATTTAATGACCCGGGAAGTGCCAACGCATGAGTGTAATGTGCATGACGACAATAGCAATATCAGCAATAACAGCGACGTCAGCATCAACGGCAATCTTGTTTCATTGTCGCTTGCTGCGGATGATGAGTCTCGTTTGTCCCGCCTCAGCGCACCTTCCCATTCGTTGTTTAGAATGTTTGAAGACGTAATTAACAGGGGCGTGCGCAACAGCGCCATATATTGCAAGTCTCCGTAAATGCGAGGGCTGTGTGGCAAGATTTCCGATTCCCAGACGCGCGGTGCTCGAGCTTAACAGAAGCTTCGCCACGTGTGTTTTTCACCTATGCGGGCAACTTGGCCAAGTGCAGGCATGGACCGCTTTCAGATTGTGGAGTTCACGAGTGGTCGTTTTGAGGGACTGCTATTTTGTGTTGAACGGCTGAAGACAGATCCGGGCCTGGTGAAAGCATTAAGATTAAGGATTTCGAAAATCGAAAGCCCTGCGCAGAGCGAATCTGCGATGCCTGGTCTCTGAGGCCATGATGCTGACCTTTGCTCTGGCGGCGCTAGGGTTCGTGGCCTGTCACCGGGGATTTTGAGGAGGGAAGGAAATCATCGGAGCGCTGCCTTGAGCGTTTGAAGTGCACGGGTAGGTTTCGCATCATGGCTTCTTCGGCACTGCTCTCCTAGTAGAGCTGACAACGGAACCTTTGAGCTCAGCCGCCCCCGTCAGCCAAGCAGGTATGTATTAGCCAGCACGACGCCAAGCCCCTTATTTTTGCCCGGGTTTATGGACCAGTGTCTTCCGAGGCCCACGTACGGGCGGCGAACCTGGCAGTTGTCCGCGTCTTCTCTACGGACGAGGAGGCTTTGATGAGTTTCGAAGCTCAGGTTAGGAGCCAGGGGCTGCGGGCAGGGTCGACTCTGCGAAGACGAGGGTAACAGAGTGCTTCTGGAGAATGGTGGTTGGAGTGCGCTTGGGTTCTGAGGGCAGGGAACGGTGCAAGCTGGTCCGCTTGACATGTTGGAGAGCCCATGTCTGCGGAGTCGATCGGAGGGGTCCCGCATGCCGTCGATGCGACTGAACTTTGTACTTTCACGGGTTTGTGAAATCGCAGCGAGGCATGCTGCACTTTCGATTCGGCTCATCTGTGTCAGGTGATGCTGCTGAATTCCAGTAACGACCTCTGGGCTACGTCCAACGCCATGCCATGCGCCGGCAAATCCACCACAAGTGAGATTGATCTCATCCTAGTTTACAGCCGCTTGGCACGCGGTTAATTTCCTCCCTCCAAGCGCCGCCACTTTTGTCGAAAGAAGATCGGAAGAAGCAGGAGTGGGCAGGCAGATAACGTAGAGCCTCTGTAACATTCCGAATCAGGAAGCAAGCTACCACCCGCAGAACTTAAGGTAAAGACCTCGCGACCGACGCCATGGCAAGCCAGGCACGGAAGGGCCCTAAGGGCGATCTGCTTGTGTCCGGATCGTAAGACTTCGTGCTGAAGCTGAAGCAAACGAAACTTTAGATCCCGTCCCTTCACTGCCTGGAGGTTTCCATTGCAGCGTGCTGTCTCATTCTTCCAGATCCAGCATCTAGCATGATAGGTCGTCGCGGAGCTCGAAACCACCTTCATGAACAATGCGTCGGCCTGGGTCCAGTGCTTCAGGCCGCCTGGCAGCAACAACATCTCGTGGTTTGTCATCGTGCGTGGTTTACTGCTGCTCGATTTTTGCCACGCTACGCCGGCGTGGAAACTGCGCCATGGTGCATCTGCAGGGCTTCGGGGGCGTTTTGAACTCAGGGCCTGCAGGCTTCTGGAGAACAGATGCCCGGGCTGTGAGGTTGCTTTGATCATTTGCACATCCTCTCATCCAAGCTAGGCTAGGGTATCATCTGGTGTCCACGGGTGGAATCAATAGCCTTGAGAACCAAATCCCGCCTTCCATTTTGCTTTGACTGTAAGATCTGTGTCTGAGGGGCATCAAGAACATGTCGGCCAAGCTCAACCCCGAGCAAGATGTGTACGACAGCAACGGGTACACCACGAACAAGCACTGGGTGTCCGGTGCCAGCCCCGGACATCCCAGGATTGTTGAGTCCATGCGGGCCGCCTGAGTCTGAGGTCCCAACACCGTCTTCAAAAGCATTATGGATGCCATGATGACTGGCCCCTACATGGGCATGTACGATTCCTTCTTCCTCATGGACCTGGCGTTTGGGGTGTGGGCAGCGACAGTTTCTCCCTCGGTTCTTCGATTTCTGGAAGAAACCGTGCCCATGTGGCGATCTTCCCTATCACCAACCTTGCCGTCGGTTGTTTCCTCCAGCATACTTGTCGGGCTTCTCAGTTCTTCCGGTTTTGGGGCAGCCGCTCTTTCAGTTTCTTTCCCAGTCGGAGTCTTGTGATTGCAACAGCACGCTTTCAAGAATTCTTCTGTTTTGGCAGCCGGATTCGCCAGAGTCAGGGACTCCTGGCAGGAGATGGACGCCGTTCCCATCAAAGCCAACTGGCTCGATCAATTCGAGACAGAGGCAAAGGGCACCTAAAGGGGGGTGTTGTCAGTCTTAACGGGCAGTCCCGCCTTTGTGTTCTGTTGCCGTCTTGTGCCTCGCCCCCCTGTGCTGCGTACCTTGGGAGGCCCTGGAAATGCCGGGAGGCAACATGGCCGTGCGGGGCAGCCAGTACCTAGGCCCGCTGATATGTGCCATGCATGGGGACCGTGCTGTCCTGCGGTTGAAGTCACCGTCCATGGTTGCCACGTTTCATATGCTCAGTGGTGCTCCTGTCGCAGTCACCTTGGTGTCCTTCCGTCGTGAACAGTCACCTGGACAATGAGGATCATGATCATCCTACTCCCTGAGGTCTTGCACGTTCGCACTTGAAGACCACGCAAAACGAGCGAGCCTGCTCGCTAGCTTGCGAGACAGCGTTGACTGGTGTGATTTCCTTGGTGGTTTTGTGATGGCATCCGGCTAACATTGGAAGGGTGGCAGTGGTGGTGATGCTGTGAGTGCGGCTGATGTGATGGTTGTGTGACGACAATCCCTGTTCTGATGTTCGGGTGTAAGAGGCGTGTGGACTTCCTTGGAAGGTGATAAGTGGGACCTGTTCAAGCACATGATGCCCGACTACCTGGTCGACCACATCAATGGCAATGCTATCTACAATCTCAACAACAACTGGACCCAGTGACTTGTCAATGCAGGCTTTCATGCCGAGAGGGATCTTCCAGCCTTGGGTGTGGGAACCCAGCGTTGCAAAGCTTGCGAGGTCACTAGGCGACGGCCTGTATTGCCGGATCATGAATATCATAAGGCTCTGAAGCATATTCGTTCAATGTCATGGGTTGTGGCTGCGAGCAACCCGCAATCCTTTGTCGAGGTACCTAGTCAATGCCTTCACCACACAGGGCACTACGAACATGATGGAAGAAATGGCCTTTGATGTGGCTTTCGCACCTCGGCATTTAACCTACTTGATCTTTGGCTTTAGAAACCTTAACTTTACTCGAGTCGCACTTGGTGTTCTTGTATGAGCAGTAAGAGCACATGCAAAGAGAGGGAGACGATTCGAACCAGTGCTCCTTGGTGTCGAGAAAGGTGCCGTTTCCTACTGCTAGTCGTAGTGGTGGCCGTCACGCCGCAGCAGCATCAGCGGGAGTAGTAGCGGGAGTCTTGTTGTTGGTGGTGCCGCCGGCGGCGGCGTTGGTGTTATTTGTGTTGTGGAGGTAGTGGTGGGGATAGTGGTAGCAGCAAAGCAAGACAGAGGCCATGATTACCATGGCCGCGGAGTCCGGATCTGATACTACGCCGCTCAGCCGCAGATGGGAGGTGGCATGGAGGGGGCCATGAATGGTTCGGGTTTCAGACCACGGGGTTTCGGATGTTCTTCTGGATGAGGCTGGGTTTCCGGGCGGAGTCTGAGGGCTCCCTCTAGGAAATGCAAAGGGGCCTGCAGCACAAGGGCTTTCGTCCTTTCCGTAAACGGCTCGATGAGGCGGACTGGCACAGCCGCGCTTTCTGAGGACTTCCAACTGATCCAACTGATATGACGGGAAGGATCCCGACCTGGGCCGGCCTGGTAGAAGGGACAGTTGTTCTTTAGGTATAAACATGTTAAGCGCGAGCTTGTCTGCAAGCCCATGGAGAGGCAGTATAGAGCTTCCGCTGAAGGGGCCTTCCAAGCAGGTTCAACCCAACAGCGTGAAGCATGTCTGTGACACTGGCTTCAGCTAGCAGTGAGGTTTGCTGCTGCGTGGGCGAATGTCGCGGGCACCAACACGACGTACAACCCGAGTTCCATGCTCGTGGGAAACTACGTGTCTGGCTCAGAGTTCCAGGCTGTTCTGTCTTGGGCTCAAGCCCTCTGCGCATTTTGGTCCCTAGAAGGCGAGAGAGGCGCTTTTCCTTCATTTTCCTCCTTCCCATCCTTCCCTCCCTAAGTTCCTTTTTGTCCTTTCCTTGTCTCTTCGCGTTGCTTTTCGGGCTTCCTTGTTGGTTTTTCTGCCTGTTGTCGTGTCGCAGTTTTATCCGGCGGCTCGTCAGCTTGTCGCGCCGCGTCTCTCCCGCTGTCTGTCTTTCTCTTTCTCTTTTTGCTCTTCACTCTCTTGCCCTCTCTCTCTCTCTCTCTCTCTCTCTCTCTCTCTCGCTCTCTCGGTTCCTCTCCTCCCCCTTTCTCAGGCCAACACTCTGCTGAACACCAGCTATGAGTTCCCGACCTACATCCGCCACGGCTCGAACAAGAACCTGTTCGAGAACTTGCCGGTCGGGCCCTCTCTTGCTTTTCTTAGTTGTCTTTGGTGAGCACGGTACACGTAGAGCGTGTTGCCTCCCTAGCTTGAACCGACTGTCCAACGTGGAAGGATGACAACGTTACGTTGGTCGTGGCTTGGTTCGACTACCAGGGCCACTTTCTCGAGACGGTCTAGCCCTGAGCTTTTGGACTGTCCGCAAATCCACGCCGTCCAGCCGACAGACATGTAGGATTCGAGTTGTGGAATCTGGATTTCTCGCTACTCAAATGCGCGAACGGCACAAGGTGGAAAGGCCAACCGTCTCGACTGTGAAGCGAGGTGCCCACCCATCACCCCTTCAAGAAGATCATCGGCCTCGCTTACTACGAGCAGTCGATGAACTCAAGGGAAATTCCTGCCCCGGATGGCCGCTTAGTTGAGAGGATGGCCTCTGGTGAGCCCCAAACGAATAACCACAGCAATGTCAGGCTATGTCAGGCTTCAGATCTCAGGGAGCCCCAGATCCTATGTTCTCATTTCCATCACAAGCATTGCCTCCGAGGCAACGTCACGCTGACGATGAAGCCGGCCACATCGCAGCCCTTCTACCACCTCTGCGAGGCTTCTTGTCTGCGGCTTCAAGTTGTAGATTGGGGGTGTCGTAGGGCTGCAAGGGGCATGCGCCTTCAATGCCAGTGCACCTTTCGCTTCCCAAGCCGCCGAACCGAGGCTGCCAAGTCGGTGGACACCAAGTGGTTCGTTTGATCCTTACAACCGGCAGAGGCTTTGGGTCAAGTCCTCAACGGTCCTGGGGAACGGTGCATTCAACCGCTGAATGAGGCACTCACGGACAACTACCACATTGTCAAAGCACCAGTGAGCGTGCTCATGGAGACGAATCCTGTCTGTGCGAGACGTGCTAGGGAAACAGTTGTTTGAGGAATTGAATACCACGGCCTCTCATTGGAGTTTGCTGTTTCGCGGGTCCTCCGATCGTGTCTACTGCAGATGACCTGGCCATGCCCCCGCGTAGATGAAACACCCTGCAGTGCTGGCATCAACTCGTGCAGTGTGCATGACATAGAGCCGAAGGTTTCTTGCCCTCCAAGGATGGACAAACCCGTGCTGCCCTACGTCCTGAAGGACTCCAGGCAGGGCCCGGGCGCAGGAAAGTAGATAATCCCCAAAGCCGAAGCCATGCGAGGAAGCTGGGAAGCCCGGCAGGTACTGCGGAGAGCGACCCAACTGCAAGGCTTCCATGGAGCAGGCTGGTCACAACCTGCTTTCACCGCTCTTTTGGGTTCCGAGGCCAGTGTTGGGAACTTGTTTTTTGATTGCACCTTCCGGAAGACTCTGGGATTGAGATTGATGGAATTTGGAGTTGAGAAGCAGAAGAGGTTTCTCTTGATATCCCTGTCATTGCAGTCCTCTCAAGCCTTCTTTCTGCAACTCCGTCTGTGTTTGAACTGGGCATTCCACACATTCTTGTTTTCGGATTTCAGAGAGTTGAGGTGGTGAGGGTTTGCTCATTTTCCTAACCTGGAGAGGCACGCTGCGAGGCTTTTGCAATAGGGTCTGGTGTACACATGACCAGTGAGCTGCATCAGGCAGAAGATCTGTTCGGTATCGTCTTGAACTATCACCATGACAAGTATGAGGTCTTGTACAAGACTGCCGCTTGGATGCATTTTGCGAGTGTCTCAATGGTATGTCATGTTCCAAGATGGCGAGCAGAAAGGGAGCCGTGAGTCAGGGACAGACCGTGGACACGGTGCTCTTTCGGAGGAGGTTTTTGCCTGCAACGAGACCCATGAAGCCACGAATTTGAAAGCTGCGCCAACCATACGACATGGCTGTCGTGGCTCAAGTGTAGTGATAGAAGCAGCCATCAAGCACCAGTCATAGTCATAGTTATCCTCATCATGATGGTGATGAACATGACCATCATGATCACCATGACCATCATGACTATCGTGATCGTCATAGCCGTCATCATCCTCATCATCCTCATCATTATCACCCATCACCGTCACCCTCACCACCATCACCATCACTATCACCATCATCATCACCATCACCACCAGCACCGTCACCAACACCACCATCATCATCGTCGCCATCACCATCATCATCAACATCACCATCATCATCATCATGATCATCATCATCATCATCATCATCATGGCCATCACCATCACCATCACCACCTCCATGATTATCACCATCATCACCATCATCACCATCACCACCATGATGATGATCATCATCATCACCATCTCCATGATTATCACCATCATCACCATCACCACCATGATGATGATGATGATCATCATCATCATCACCATCACCACCATCATGATGATGATGATGATAATCATCATCATTATCATTACCATCATCATCAAGCTGTTGCAGTGCTGCAGGGAAATGTGAATCGGTGGCTGTCGTTAGTTCTGCTGTACACGGAGCAGCCTCTGAAGCTCGAAGCCCCTGAAGCCTAAACATACTGTAGATCCATGGCCTGATGCACCGAGGGAAGATCAAATTCTGTTCCAGCAGCAGTTTTGTTCCACGGCCAATGTACAGTCCGAATGAAGGAGCTATGCAAATAGTCTGCAGAGACCAGCAGAGTTTACATCTATATTATACGTGTATACATACATAGTGTGATTGGGTATGTCACGTTGCATTTATCCTTCATCACCCTTACTCGCAAGTGTTTTTCTTTTCGCAAGGTCGATGCCCTTGCCTTTTGCGATGCTTGGGATGTCGCCACGACCGGCAAGGATTGGGGCAGCTTAGTGCGATTCATCACGCCATGTTGTGTTACATAGATTCTGCTCCGAACTCTCTTGCGTTTAGACAGTGTTCACGTCACTAGTGTATCCTTCCACGACTTCAATTGAGAGTGCGCTAGTGTATGAGACGGCTGGTTGGGGCTGCATCAAGTGTATCGCATCCTGGCATGGTCTAGAAGATTCTGGAAGGGTATGCCTTTCACGATGTCACGTTGTACCAGGATGTGCCGCTTGATTTGTTTGTTCTCTATGATGAACCTGTTGTATTCTATGAGGGCTTCCATGTAGCTTAGCATACTTCCCGCCATGGAATGTTGTCTAATACTAATTACTGCATTGACTTGCCTTGTAGCAACCTGCACACAGCAAATATCGTTCTATGTCACCGTGCTCGATGCCATTGCAGCACACTGTGCAGCGGTACTTTGCGCAAAATCCACGGCATCTGCGCGTGTTTCTAGCAGTTTCTTCACCAAACCTATTCGATGTTCCCCGAAAGAGGATTCAGGTCCCGGCTCCTTTGAGCTGCCCGAAGCTCCCGCGATGGCAGCGACAGCCCAGCGACAGCGTCAAGTCTGAAAGCTTGCCCCAAGGCAACTGCAGCCTTGCCTTCGGCCCAACAGCAGCGGCTCGGATGCAAGATGCATGATCGCGACGATGATAACGATGGTGATGCTGTTGACGACGACAATGATGGCTACCACCACGGCCACTGCAACGACGAAAAGGACGATGGTCATGTTGTTTGTGATATGTATGATGATGGTTATGCTGAAGGTTATGATGTTGATGATGTTGATCCAGCTGGCGAGTATGGACATGTATGGATGGTGTAGAACAGACGATGCATGTAAATAACTGATTCTCGATGATGGGCCATGATGACAGTTATGGTTGCCGTTGTTGCTCGTCCTCGTTGTCATCATCATCTTTGTCGGGACTGCTGCGAAGGGGTGTTTTGGTTAGTTCTCCGATGACTATTACCGCCATGCTCAGGGTTTCGTGCTTTCGACTTGAGGCCGAAAAGGCCTATGCTTGGGGGTTAGGCAGTTTGGGAAGCGCTCGCTTCAATCCCTACGAGTCGGACTTACGACCCCCCTTTGCGGTAAAGCGGATGGTGGGGGCCGGGCAGGATGGACAAGCCGAATTCACCTTGGCCCTTGCTGCAAGGACGACTACATCGCTTGGAAGATCAGTTCTCCTACGTTCAACGTGAGTGACGAGTTCACCCCAAAGGACAAGGCCTGGCCTCGTTCCAATTGGGGGCCCTGCAGGACGGAAATCTACAGAAGAACATGTGCTCACAGCCACTGCCGCTACCACTATCAGCTGCTGCCACGACCGCTGCCACTGCAAATTCCCGCAACTGGAACTAACTACTACAACCGCTGCGACGACGACAGCAGCAACAACCACGATTACTACCACCACTGCTCCTCATACTAGAGCTGGTTGTAGTCGTAGCCGCAGCCGCAGCAGCAGCAGCAGCACTAGTAGTGGTACTGGTTCTACGACCAGACTAGCACTACTAGCCCTGGTACTTGTACTCATCCTAGTACCTTTACATTGTGCCGGGAATTTAGAACAACTATTTTGCGGAATCGTCTTGGCAATCTCAATCTTGGTCAAAAGCAAGATTGC